ACTGGCGTACTCAGCTATGTAAAAGTAATGAACATTCCCAATAAACTGGGTCAGCACCTACATGCACGGTCATGTGCAATGGATAAAATACAGCAGTGCTGATTTCCATTTACATTATTACAACCAACATTATGCCTGGCAAATGGCATTTTGGCAGGTAAAAGCGTTACAGTGAATTTATTTGAAGCTATTCTGTATGGGTCAAAGAAAGGTAAATCTTGCTAGGTTGAGAAATACGGTTAAAATAGAATGTTGAAGCCCTTTAAGAGCACTGGAGGAACTGGGGTGTTGCTGTAAGCTCAGGGGTCTGTGAGGTTGGACCTTTTAGGGGGGCTTGGCATCACAGCCTCCTTGCACGACGCTTACAGAAAGAAGCCAAGACAAACCACACCAGAGGTGAGATGAGAGGGGAACGCTTCTTACATGGAGGATATTCATTTTCACCAACAGTGACAGAGAACTGCTTAAAATTGGCCTGTCCTATTAAGTAAAAATAACTTCTTTCCCCTCAGCCATCTTCAGTCCCTCTTTCTCCTTTGATGCTCGCACCGTCCTTCCAGCCTTTCCCATATTACTCTTCTCTCCTGCCTCTCCTGACATGTCATTTTCTCCCCCTGCTCTCTCTTCTTTTCCCCTCTTCACAGTTCAGTCCTCTCCCTCCCTCTGTACGTTATAGGTGATACACAGTCTCTTCTGTTCCTCATTTTGTTCTGCTCTCAGTGCCCTCTCTAGCCTCTTCCTCCTGCTGCGTTGATGCAGCTCTTCCCCTTCTCTTCCACCGGTGTTTTCCGTTATCCTTGGAACAGCTGTTTTGCTTTTAACATGCTCGTGCCTTCCTTTTTCTTCCAGCAGCTGTTTTCCTAGGTCCTGAAATATATGAGGAAATCCCCATTTTCTTCTGATTCCATGGAATTCTGCCATGCCTGCTCAGCTGAGCCCAGGCCAGCTGAAATTGGTAGCTTGGCCTCGGCAATCTGGAGTGCAGTTGGCCTGGCCATGATTTAGAGAAGCGTTTTGGGGTGGGGAGGAGAGCTTCTGGGACACGGCTGCCGAGTCCTGCGTCCAAGAAATGAGTGGGTGAAGGAGTGAAGCGGAATGGAAGGGCAGCCACAAGAGCAGTAGGAAGGTGAAGGTTACGTGGTGAAGATGTTGGGAAATGGCTGTGGCAGAAAGGAGAGAGTAGGATGGCTGGTGTTGGAAGGGTTGAGAGAGGAGGCTCCTGAAAACCTACTGGGTTTAACACCTAAAGAGAGTATGAATGAAGTCTTTCATAATTCTGCTTTGGCAGTTAAGAAGATGAAGTTTGCGTCATTTCTGAGTAAATGAGAGTTTTGATGCTCCTTGACCCCACTTCAGGAGAGAATGGGGTCAGGTTGAACATTGGCCATGGTCTGTTAGAGGCAGTGCTCTGCCTTCACCCCATCTGCTGTTTCTCAAGCGTTGTAACACATAATTAATGTTTAAAAAAATTGGCTACCAAAAAGCTCATGATAAATGTGCTGCTTTGGTGTGTAGCCAGCTAGACTCTCCAAATCATTTTAGGAGAGGAGGTAATCGTTGGAAGCAATACATGCGTTGTGCAAGTGTGAATTATTTTGAAGCTCCCTTTCAAGCAAGAAAGGAAATTGTACAAGTTTGTAACTTTTGGCATTTGGTATTTAATATGAACAATATAATGCCTTGGTTTCTCAGCGTGGAGTCACTCAACTTGTCAAAAGTGCTTTCTCAGCCCTTACAAAAATGACATAAACAGATATTTTGAACAGTTCTCTTGATCTAGGTGTCACTTTTCCCGTCCTTCGTTGTAATCCGCTTCTCTTGCGTTAGGGTTGCTTACAGCCGTTGTGTACTTAATGTTTGCAAGGCAGTGATTTAAATTTAAATTTAATCAAAGTTTCGAGCAAGGAGTTTTTCAGCTTCCAACTTTGTAGACATCATTTAACACACCTGATAGCAGAAATAAAGGTTTAAAAGTTTTGGAAGTCTAATTTGGTGTTTATAGTGTTCAGTGGTATGTGAGGAGAAAGTTTATATTGAAGCTACGATTAGAAGAATCATGCCTCAAATTGTATCAGACAGAAATAAATGTGAACTGCTCCCAACACCCAGCCATGCCTTTGGAAGAGCATGCGGTTCCCCGGTGGTTTCATCTATTGCAACGCAGTTTCTAGATAAAATGAAATGTTTAATTCAAGGATTTTGTTTATGATGAGAGACGGTTGGAACTTTGTCAAGCGGTTTTTTAAAAGTAGTTCAATGTATGGAAAAGGGAGCTTTTACTGAGAGCACACCTTTTTCAATGTTCAGTTCACTGCCAGGCTATAGAAGTTGTTCTTTTCTTTTCGTGGATGTATTTCTTGGCTTGTGCAGTCGAGCAAAAGGAGGGGAGACAAATAACACACCAGAATTACAGCTAGCATACGGAGTGGTCATTGCAGATGCAGAGCAGGGTCTGAACATGGTTCCCTGTATTTTAGAAGAGAATCCTAAGCAGTGGAGATGGGATCCATCCCTCTTACTGGATCCTTGAACAATTAATAAAGCATATAAAGTGAAATAATTGGAAAGAGACCTTCCTCAGAGTATTAGTGACCAGGTATTAAAGGTGTTCACCTGATGCGGGGTAGAAGAACGGGGTTTGAAGCTGTTTGGAGGTGAGCCCCGTCAGCACCAACCTGCGGGTTGTCCTGAAGTCTCTTCCATTCACTTTTCACGTTCACCCTGGTCTCATTCCCAAGGGTGGAACAGGGAAATGCTTTGAAGCCGTGAGAAGTTTCACAGGATGAGAAAACTGTTTCCCACCCAGCTCTGGCTGTGTGAGTGAGGAGCCTGATTTCTAGCACCAGGCTCAGCTTGCAGCACTGGCTTTTGGCAGCCTCTCTTCGGTTTGAAGATAGAGAAAATGTCATGGAAAATAAATAACATCAAGATGAAATTTTGGCGCATTTGCATTTCTGAGAACATCATAATGCTTTTCCTTTGGTTGCCTTTCCCAGATCTTTGTCGCTTTTTGGTTTAGCCTCAGAAGCACCTATTAAGCATTGCATTTATCCTACTGTTGAAGCCAGTATACCAGGAAACCCATGACAAGGACCAAGAGTTTATGTGAAGGGGCTTAAATTAATGGATTTGTAAGTGTATGTGTGTCCCAGTATCTACCAATGACCATTCCCTGCATGGGTACTGCATAAGGTGTGTCCCCTCTTCCACCTGGCCCTGTAGATTCCTGGATTCCTGGAAGAAGTTAATCACCTTCTCGTTAAAAGGAAACTTTATTTTTGTCTACACGCCTATTGTGTAGGAAATAAGAGCTCTGCGTACAGCAATTTGGTTTCTGTTACTGGGAACCTGATATCAAGGGACGGCTGCGTAAGAACTTTATACTGTGGAATCCACAAGTTATAATCCCCAAATAAATGGGATTGTTGGAAAGAAATCACTACCTTTATTATTAGTTTACCCAGTGCTGTTCTTTAAGGGAATACATTATATTTTAACTGGCTGATAGGAAGAATTCTGTTAGGAATTTGAAGGTATCCATTAAAGCCTAAGCACATGTATTAGGGCTTGATGCTTGCAAGAACAGCCGAGCTTTATCGTCACCGTGTGCATCACACCTCGTTGTGACTGAGAAGGGAAATGATTGCATTATACCCCATTGGTAATTTCATATATTTCTATTTCAAATGAAAAGCCAGCAATGTGTGAGGACCCCACAGCCAGACGCTTTCATTCCTCAGTACCGTCCTTCGCGGTGGCAGAGCTCGGAGGCTGGGTCTGCCACCCCCTCCGCCATGGAGCCTGCTGCCAGCCGAGGGCTGCTTCTTGCGGGTGGAAAGCCAGAAAGCCTGAATCGCAGCCAAACAGCCGTGGGCCACCTTCCACCCGAGCTCACGCGGCCCCCAGAAGGCCACAGCAATCTCATGTGCGCAGCGTCCTCACTTACATTCTCCTGTCCAGGTTCAGAAATGTGCTTTATTTGGCAATATTTATATACCGTGCTACAGTGCTCCAGGGCAGTGGTGGTTTTGGTCAAAACTGATCCCACCTGCCTTGCCGGGGTATTTTTGAATGCTCTCCGTGACATCTGCAAAGAAAACGCAGTGACTGGGTGGTGGAGAAAAGCCTTTGGACCTGGCAGAGCCTGGGACAGGGCAGTGCTGCGGGGAGGCTGGGGCTGGCGAGGGAGCAGGAGGAGCCGGTGCCGGGAACGGGGCTGGAGCAGCCGCCCCAGGGCTCTGCAAGCAGAGAGAGCTTTTGGTGGCCCTTTTTTATTATATTGCAAAAGAAAACAGGAAGGTTGGCAGATTGGACTGAGAAGATGTCACTGGTTTTCTGCTTATTTTAAGAAGTGGGCAGAATTTAGTGGGTTCTGGCAGAGAGCTGGGAAAATCAGGTGACCTGGGAAAAGAGGATGGTTTCTTTTTTTTTTTTTCTTTAATTTGAATTGATTTTCTGAATGAAGAGCGGGATCACAGTGGGTGAGTAACGTATAGTAAGCCTGACATCCCCCGCCGTTGGTGGGAATCTGTTGTTTGCAGGTGCGCTCTGCTGTAAGGTGCTCAGCCTGTGCACTCTACCTGCTTCTGCAGAGCCTGACATTTGAAAACAGCAAATAAAAATGAAGTTTGAGAAAACAGTCACAAGTTATTACTGACGCCAAGTCCTTACACGGAGCTCAGAGCACTGTCGTATCGCTCCCTGCTCAGCACAGTGCTTCGGATATGTCAGTCACTGTCAATGTCTGTCTCTGGGAGCAGCTACAGCTTAATTTCATTTATTCCTCAAGTGGCAGGTCCAGTCATTTTTCAGGATCAGTGCCTGTTTTTACCAACTGATTCGTCTGGATTCTTGTCACGGGTAGTTAGCGCTTGGTACTCTGAAAGCCTTCACCTGCCAGAACGCATCAAACTCACCAAACCAAAACCGCTGCTTTTAATGACTTGCCCGACTCGCGGCTGATGAAGATGCATTTTTTGTGTTCTTTTCCTCTTTGCTAGGTTGTCGCTTACCACTACTGCCAGGCTGACAACGCCTACACCTGCCTGGTGCCAGAGTTCGTGCACAACGTGGCCGCCTTGCTCTGCCGCTCGCCGCAGTTCGGTGCCTACCGGGAGCAGCTCCTGCGAGAGCCCCACCTGCAGAGCATGCTCAGCCTGCGCTCCTGCGTGCAGGACCCCATGGCCTCCTTCCGCCGGGGAGTCCTCGAGCCCCTGGAGAACCTCCACAAAGGTACGGTGCTGATGCTCCCGACGCTTTCCCTGAGCTCCCGCGCGCCTTTTTTTCTTATTATTTCCAAAACACTGCTTAGTTGCACCTGGGTGTTTAAACGAAGCGATAGATTGATCCTTCTGTATCACATCTCTGGAGCTGCAGGGAAGAGGTGAGATTTGGAGAGGCTGAGAATATGCCGTCGTGTTTGTTTGGAAGCAAGGGGTTAACCACTGCTCTCCTCCGGGTGTGGGCCGTGGATGAGGGGCTAATGACAGCGTGCACTTGGCTTTCGCTTCTCTTGCCGTCTTCCACATCCCAGACCTGGCCTCGCTGTCCTAAAGATGAAAACAAGCAACAGTTTTCACGCACAGCTCTGCTTACGGCAGCGTGTTCCGATTTATGTGTTTAGGGGTGAACGTTTTTCCCTTTCTCTGCCATTATTTAGTGGGCTTTAGAGAATCTGAAGCTTTGCCCAAAAAAGCTGATACCGTAGAGGTCTGTAGACAGCCTCTGTAAAGCTTCCAGGGCAACTGGTAACAAGCCTTATCCTGGTTGCGGACTTCAGAGCTTTTTCTAATGCAGCACTGGTTTTGTCTCCTTTTCTTTCTTTCCTCTGCAAGATGCAACTAATTTGTCGTGACAGTCTCTAAATATAAGATCTTTGCTCGTTGCCATGAAAACCGTCGGAGCGTTGCAGAGTTCAGGACTCGGTTGTCCTACAGAAGGGTGTTTGTTGCGGTGGGTGCTGCAAGAGGGGTGCAAAACCAGTTCAGATAATTTTTCTGTTACCGCCTGAGACATGACAGCATAGGAGCCAACGTGGAATAAATGCAGCTTCCACTGAATTCAAAGCCCTGTCGATCAAATCAGTTCTCCAAAACAGCGCATCCAGACCCTGAGCAGTAGCACCTGGGTCCAGCGCGCGTGGTTCCGCCAGGCACAGAGCGCGCGTAGCACCAGCACAGCTCGACAGCAGTCGGTTTTCCTGGCACGCTGAAATGTCACTGTAGGAGTAGCGTGGCGACTCTTTCTTACCAAAACTCTTGGCAAAGGAAAAAAAAAAAGAAAAAAGATACATTTAGGAACTGCTGCTCCGAAGGAAGATAATTGGTGGTTATTACAGTAACTCCTTGGGAGGTGTTCCAGCTGTTGAATTCAGAGCATTTCGGAGGATGCTTATTTTTCTTGCCAAGCAGGTTGACCCCCATCTGGTCCTAAGTTCCAGGGGGTGGAAAAATTCTATATATAAGCGCTTTTTTGTCCCCCTCTTGGGCTCTGTGCTCAACCCAGCTCCAATGGAGCCAATGATCGGGACTCCCATCTTTCAACCTTGCTGATGGAGAGTGCTGGCAAGCTAATTTGCACCGCGTGTTTTGCAACAAAATGAACAGTGTCTGGAAATTGGTTTTAAAATATATAACATTTAAGACTCCGTAAATATATCAGCAGGTCTTTTACAAGGTGCTGTTGAAGCTTTAGTGCTACTGGGACAAAATTATTGCACAGCCGTTAATGGTGAATGTGACTGAGAAAGTTAGATTCATGTTTCTCAAATACATTTTTTTTTAATCTCAAGGAATGTAAGTAATATGTAGGAGAACAAAGTTATGATTCTTCCCCTACTCCTTCTTTTGCCTCTGTCCCTCAGGCTTTATGAGAAACATGAGATGTGGGTATAAAACTCAGGCACTGTAGTCACTCCAAGATTTCATAGAGTCATAAAGTGTATTTTCTAGTGTACCCAAGAATCTTACTGAGAAGTTAACTGAAAAAGGATCTGTCATAATTTTAGTGCAAAATATGTGGGTTTCATTCAAGAATCTTACTGAGAAGTTAACTAAAAAGGATCTGTCGTAATTTTAGTGCAAAATATGTGGGTTTCATATGGATATTAACAGTATATCAGGAAATAAATGCAACTTGATAACGTAAGGCAAGGAGAGGCTGGGATTTCAATGCTGGGCAGTACCGGACGCAAGGTGTTGATGCATTTCTCTTCTCCCCGGAACACCGCAGAGACTGCTGATGTCATCGGTGCACGTTTTGTGCTGGGTTTTTGCAGCAAATTTCATCAAAGGGAAAAGCTATCCTGCTGTTGGGAATACTGAGCTTTTTGATAGCAGGATTATCCGTAGTACTTTACAAAGGAGAGCAAACTTCCTACAGATCGGAATCTGTGATACATGGTAATAGCTTATGCCAACAGTAGACTCTTGTTTCCCAGCTGGTTTTATTACGCAAGATTACCTTTGAGAAGATACTACTGGAGCTTAAGATGCAAGCCTAAAAGAATCCGTATCATTAGTTATAAAGCTATACTCAGCTCTCGGCACCTGGCGTAGGAACACTGACTTCGTTGTCTGCATCAGTTTGGTGACTGCATTCACCACCAGCCAAAATACCCTGTTTAAAAGGTCCACGATTCACTTTTTGTAGGATCTTTTTTATTCCTCCTGACTCGTTTATAGAAGAGTTTTGGCTACAGACTTGAGACCAAGCTCCTTTACAGTACTGGAAGGTCAGAGCTGTTCTGAACAATCTCTGCTGAACAGAGGTTGTGAGCTCCAAAGTGTTGAGTGCTCAGCCCCGTGCGGGCTGGCTGATGCTTTATGCTCCTCAAAGAATTGTTTTGCCTGTGAAAGCAAGTTTGCTTCTGTCTCAAAACACTGCCCAGACCTCAGCTGGTCAAGCAGGCAGTGCCCAAAGTGTGGATCAGAAGGATCTAGATGTGCTGAGGAGGTGAATTTCTTGGTGAAGCTTCATTTAGTAGTTGCAGAAATGAAGACAGGCTGACATCAGGGTGAGAGTTTAATGCCAAAACTATAGAGAACCGCTAATAAAGTGTTTATTAAAACTTAGCAGAAAGATAGTGATTCATATCGAATAATATTGGACTTTGTGGAAGAGGTCGTTTTTAAAAAGAGGACTAGCTGTGTTATCCGTGGGGTATCACAGTTGTGTATGTCATAACTGAAATATCTATAAGAATTGAAATAGCGTATGTGTGGGCCTACCTCTGTGTGTATGCAGTTAAAGTGTCATAAGAAAGATGCTGCTGCTGTGTCGTTTTTCTCCTTTCGCAGTATCTGACGCTGCTTTACAACACTGTAGTGACCTCGCAGTACATGATAGTCGCCTGCCTGGCCTTTTAAATAAATGCTTTTTCTTTTTCTCTTTCTCTCAGAGAGGAAGATCCCTGATGAAGATTTCATTATATTAATTGATGGTTTAAATGAAGCTGAATTTCACAAGCCGGATTATGGAGATACCATAGTGTCATTCCTGAGCAAAATGATTGGAAAATTCCCTTCCTGGCTGAAGCTGGTAGTGACAGTCAGGACAAGTCTCCAGGTACGCTGAGGCCAAGAAGTGTGATGAGCTGGGTCGTTGTCAGGATGGGCTTTGATAAAGATGATTTTAGCAGATATCTGGATTTGTTTAAGACCCTTTCTTTCGGGAGATCCTTTTGACTTTTTTGTACTTGGATTTACATTCATGTCCCCAAACTCACTCTACAGCTTTGAATGGATCTAATCCAGCATTGCTTATTCATGCCAATAAATGTTCATCAGCGAATAGTGCGGATCATTTGAGTGAGCTCGCATGCCAACGGGCTCCTTACTCGCCGAGCGTATTAGGAGGGTAGGGCCTGATGTCTGTCAGCCCGCGCTGCTCAAGAGCATCCTCTCCTCCGTGTAGAATGGCAAAGAAATTCGTATCTTCATATGCCTTCTGTGTGACCCAGAGCATGGGGGGGGGTTGTTTCAGTCTGTCGGGCCAAGACATTATTCAGCTCAGTGAAGAATATCTTGAGCAACTGCTGAAACACTAAGCCAAATGTCGTTCGGGTTATTCTTAAGTGTTTGTATTTTAGTTGGCAGCTGGGCGGGTTTTTACCTTCAGCCTGTCCTAAGCTGCTCCTCACCACTCTCTTGGCATAAGGATTAAGCTGACCTTAGTTTGTTGGCTCAACTGCTCGGCTGAACGGAGCAAGCTGGGAAGCAAACACGACGACCCGGTTAGGGCAGAGCTGCTCTGTCAGCTGTGTCACAGCAGAGCGGGTTGATTCGCAGCATCACGCTGAGCGTCGGAGCCAGGGGCCCAGAGGAGGCAAGCGTCCGAGGGACGAGCCGCGTGTTCGGGAGCAGCTCAGAAAGGCGTGCCTGCAGCTCTGCGTTTTGCAGTTTTTCATTAGTAGCTGTTTTTTCAGTTCATTTTTACCGAGCTCCATTAAGCAGTTTTATTAAGATTTGCCAATAGTTATTGAGATCCGCAGGTTGATTTACTGTGGTCCTGCTGGCAGGGAGTTGAGTGCTGGTTCCGGCCCCACCAAGGCTGCCTCTGTAGCTGGGAACAGCAGCTGCTCCCCAGGGCGCCGGGAGAGCACGGGCGATCTGCTGGTTTGTGCTGCAGTTCTTTCTCTGCTCAGTAATGGAGTAGATTAAACATCATTTGGAAGAAATCTTTTTGTAATTGTAGGTAAACTGCATCCTTATGACTTGAATTCCTCACTTAATTAGGGCTTTTGCAGCCCTACAGCCTTCACCGCAAGCTTTATTTTGCACTGCGCTCACCCTCTTTATTATATTGGAGAGCCGCTCCTGCAGCTGCCTTGTCCAGCTCCATTCCGTCAGTTCTCCCCACTTCACAGTGACTGAGAACCCATGACCAAGAATTCCTTTGGAAAGGCCTGTGATGATCTTTGGTTGATGTTGCATGAGCATCATCAAGTGAGCTCAGCAGATGAGACAGTCCCTGGCCACGCTCTCCTGCAGCAGATAGACTATTTGTAAACAAGCAGTATTTGTTTTGCACTGGAAAGCATTTGCTGTTAGCTGTCCTGATGTTTCCATGCATTTCCCTGTTGATAGCAGCTGTGGGATATGGGAGCATGCTCACGGGGAGGTATTTGGCTCGGCTTCAGCAACATTTCTTCTGGCCTCAGAGCTGTCGTCTGATTGTCCACAGCTCATTCCCTCTAACGCGACAGCAGAAGGGATGGCGTGTCGATACGTGGTTGGGATGGGGTAGGAATAACAAGGGCGCTGCTCTGGGTGAATTTTCCAGCCCTTTCCATGGATGCGGTATTAGGAACCGTGTCCTTCATTTTTATTTCAGTCATGTTTCACACGCAGTCTGCTTGATTATAGATGAGATTGTGAGGTCCTGAGGGCACAAACTGCCATCTTGTGTGCTTGCCCTGATGGAAGAGGTCTTAAAGGAGTCCCAAAGGTGCTATTGTATTATGAATTAAGTTTACTTATTGAATAATAAACACTGCCAACATGAGTATCCTTTTTCTTTTTCCTTTCTTTGTAGGAAATAATTAAGCTGTTGCCCTTCCACAGAATATTTTTGGATAGACTGGAAGAGAATGAAGCCATAGACCAGGACCTGCAGGCATATATCCTTCATCGGATACACAGCAGCTCGGAGATCCAGAACAACATCTCACTTAACGGCAAAATGGACAACACTACCTTTGGCAAACTCAGTTCTCACCTCAAGACCTTGAGCCAAGGCTCCTACCTGTACCTAAAACTCACTTTTGATCTCATAGAGAAAGGATACCTAGTACTAAAAAGCTCCAGCTACAAAGTAGTCCCAGTGTCTCTGTCAGAAGTTTACCTGTTGCAGTGCAATATGAAGTTCCCAACGCAGTCTTCCTTTGATCGGGTTATGCCTCTCTTGAATGTGGCAGTGGCATCTCTGCATCCACTAACAGATGAACATATTTTTCAGGCCATTAATGCAGGTAACATTGAGGGCACTTTGGAGTGGGATGACTTTCAGCAGAGGATGGAGAACCTTTCTATGTTTCTTATCAAACGTAGAGATATGACGCGAATGTTTGTTCATCCCTCTTTCCGAGAATGGCTTATTTGGAGAGAAGAAGGTGAAAAGACCAAGTTTCTTTGTGATCCTAGGTAAGCAAAAGCTCTGAGAAATCAGAGCTCACAAATGTGTTCATCTCACACTGTTGTCTAAATAATTTCATTTTACAAGGTTGCTCATGGTTGTGCAGTCTGTCTACGCTGTAGATCTCTATGTCTGTACTAGTCACCTTAGATCTTTATGTTGTTCGTGGGAAGAAATAAGCAGCCCCTGGGCACACAACTGACCCAGCAAACCAAATAGTCGTCTTCAGAATGAGGTGAGCTGTTCCTCAGAAGGCCCTGAGTTGAGTAGCTCCCGTACGGGCGTCACCGGGGCTGTCTGCGTTTCAGCACATTACTCCTGCCAGCTCAGTCTGGAGAAGGGGAATCATCCTCCCTTTCTCCAAAGGTACCGAAACCACGTGAAGCAGAGGATAAGGAGATGAAAGATGAGTAGTCTGGACACATCTTTTGCAGTTGGCTGCTTTTTGAAGTTGGGTTCCTCGTAGTCCTACTAAATGTCTTTTTGAAAATGAAATAAGGAGCAGAATCAGGCTGTAGTGATTTTGGACTGTAAATGCATCTGTAATCTCCATCCTGATAGCAGCTGAGTTCCTGGCTTAGCTCACAGGGAACAGAATTTAATCATGGTTAGATTTATATTCTCTAAGCCCAGTGATCACTATTAACATTATCTGTGTTTCTGCTGAAGAGTGGAAACAGACGCTCTGACTGTAATTTTAGTAGTGTATCCCCATAAGCTTTGCTCTGTTTTGTCTGCCCACTTCTTAAAATATGATTATAAAAATCAGGGCAACACTGGGATTCAAGGCCGTGTCAGTGCATCTCCCAGACCCCGTGGTCAGTCTGGAGAGACTCTGATGGTGTCTGCTGGAGCTGCGCAGCCACCTGGCTGATGAAAGCAGCTGGAGCTGTTAGCAGCATCAGAGCAATTTACCACTTTAAATTTTGTGGTAAACAGGCTGCAGTAGAAAAATACTACATAGCTCCTCCCAACGGGCATCTTCTCTGTTTTGGTAGGTTCTGCGCAAGAATCCTGTCGAGCAAACCCTTTGTAAAGCATCTCACAGCAGCAGGTGTCTTTGTATCAATCAATGTTAGTTATTTAATACCCTTCCTCGGAGTCGTTAAGTGCTTGTCACTGTGTAATGCTTTTCCACCCCGTTTGCAATGCCTCTGTGGCGCTTACGCCTGTGGAGCTGAGAGCTTTCTCCCTCCCAGTCGCTCCCACCCGGCGCTACTGGTTTTGTCTGGCCCCTGTGGTTTTGGCCGGCCTGTCTGTAAGAGAGCTTGTCGTCAGCCGGGCGAGGGGACGGCAGCCAGCATGCCTGGCAATTATCGCTAATCACACAGCGCTTGCCGTGACGAACCGTAACGAGAGCAGCTCGGAAAAATCACTGCTTTCCTTCCTTACCACGAAAAGAAAGGTGCTGGGTGCTTAGCTGGTGGGTGAGACACCCGGGCGTGTCGGGTGCTGCGCGTGGTGCCAATGCGTACAGCTGGGTGACGTGGGCGCGGTGGTTCTCCGGGTCCAGAAATGCTCCTCTTCATTCTGACAGCGAAGGGAAGGGCCTGCGCAGAGAACCAAATGCAGAGTGAAACTCAAACGTGCTGCATTTTGGGCGGTTTCGCACCAAAACCAGGCGTGCAGCCAGGCGCGGATGCAGCAGGGAGGCAGGAACCAGCCGTGTTGGCTCCGCAGGTCACCGGCGACGTGGCCGATCTCTGCTCAGCGCTGAGGTCTGGTGCCACCGTTTGGGAATGTCACAGACGCGTCACGCTGCCCTCAGGAGCGTTCGGGAGATTTTCAGGCGTCGCTTTTCGCCCCATGTGTGTCGTTTCATAAAATAAATGGTGGCCTTAAAGCCTACGGGGAACGCCCGTGGGCTGTGCAGGGGGGGGGTCCCGGTAGAGCGAACCCCACTCGACTCCTTGCCACTGGCAAAAAAGAAGTTACAACGTGTGTAACGGGCTCCCACTGCCTTCACTGTGAGTCCGTACGTACTGGAGGACTAGTAAATACCTCTAATGTATAGCGTGCACTAATTGCGTTATGCTCTGACGGCAGATAATGAAACAGGATACATTCCAGTGATTAATAGAGAGGGACCTCCTGCGATTCAGCTCCTCAAAATCCTCCTGTCCAGCTCTCGGGGAAGAGCTAATATCAAGATGCTGAGCTCAGAGCTTGGTAAACCCTTAGCAACAATTAAGATCAGTAATGATTTTGTCATTTTATTTCTTCTAAAAGAAGCTTAGCTTGCCACTGCCGGAGCTCATAGGAGTAGCTTAGGAAAATTTGCCTGCACCTGGTTTGTTCACAGCAAGTGTGATTTCTTTCTGCTCGCTTGGGAGCTGAGAAGACGTGGCAAGAGTATGGACCACTCCTGAAGTTCATCGTCCAATGCTGCAGAAATGTGCCGTTAACATGAAGCTTGTTGACCTTGCCACGTCGAGACGTAAAGTGACAGGTTGCTGAGGCTGATTTTTTTCCCCGAAGGGCTTTGAAGCGAAATGTGGGTTTGTGGAGCTGCTCTTAATTGAGTTACGCTGACAGAATGTCCAGGTGTGAGGACGTCAGGAAGGGAATTGGGATAATGGGCCTTGTGTCCACAGCACTGCAGCTGGGGTCATCTTCCTCGTTTCATTGATGAGAGTGAGTGCCCCTGTTCTCAGAAGTAGGGAAAACAGAGGAGAGGAAGAACACAACGTCCAGAAATCACTCACGTTTTTCTACATTTTTATGATAAACAGCAGATCTCCATCCTCCAGATTTCTGTGTTAGCCTGCTGGGAGAGACGCTACCCCCTTCTGTGAGCACTCCCCGGGCGTTTGCTGTCCAAAGCAGAGGCTGACTGGCAGCGAAGGGAACCCCCCCAGCGTCCCCCGTTGTTCAGTAACAGGGCGCCAAAAGAGCGCTTGTCAGAGCATTTAACCAGCATCGCAGTAATGACTTCCCCAGCCCATCGGTGTAGCACTGTTAACCAAGCGTCCTAGTTGACAAATAACATACAAAATTTTAGGGAAAGTCCCAATCCTTTGTGACTGGTGCACAGAGGAAATTATTATTGTACATTCACTCTTAAACTTGTGTTCCTTAACCTAAATTCTGCTGTAATGCTGTGCTGTTTTCTGCCTAGACTTAATCAGAAACTTCCATGCAATTATTTTCCGTGCTTTCACGATGCTAATAAAATGTTTTATCCCTTTGCTGCTGCTGAAGGGACTGCAGGAGAGACAGAAGCGAAGTGATTTGCCCTGGCAAGGCAATAAGAGCGCTGTAGTCAGAGGTGGACCCCAGAAGTGAAGTTACAATGCCCAGATTTACGTGTCAACATCTGAGTTACTTGTCTAGACTTGCTTTATAGTCAGAGGGGAGAAATAAGAATGATTCATTTCATCATGAGCTAAAAGGCTAAAATAGGTCAGATGAAGAGTGCTTGGGAAGCGTCTCCTCCTGTTGATTTTGTGAAGGGAGCTCGGGGTGACGGGCTCACCAGGAGATGTCTCCGGTACTGACAAATAAAGCTGGATGAGATGCATTCTGCCCGGGCTGCTCTTCTAGCCAATACACAGGCTTTTGAGGTAGATTCACAGGTTTTCTTCTCTTATACAGGAGGGCTAAGGGAGGAAAATTATACTCTGTATGCTGTTGTCTGCATAGGACTAAGGCTGAGAGGGGACCTTAGAAATGCTTATAAATATCTGCAGGGTGGGTGTCAGGAGGACGGGGCC